TATTCCCCTAATAATCGTGCTCGCAGCAGAGGGAATGGCACAGGAGGGGGTGCGGCGGCACTGGTTTCTAGGTATCCAAGGTAAATATGTCAGCGCGGCGGAGAGGAGCAAGCAGGCAGGACTCAAGATGGCAATGGAGAGGGTACAGGGCTGGTGCTGGCTGCTGCAGGTGGAGACAGCCTGGCTGGTGGCCTGGGCTGCAGGAGAAGGTGTGCGGGTGGCTGCGGGGACAGCCAGGGTTTGCAGACCAGGGGGAAGGATGCATTTCTCTTTCCTCTTCTGCACTGTCCTGCCACGCAGCTCCTCTGCCGAGCTCCAAGAGCTGCAGCAATGTGCTTCCTTTCCAGCCCAGAGGTGAGGACTTCTGCACCATCCGAGCTTGGGCCGGTCTCACCACCTGGGACTGGCACCTGCAGTGGAGCTGGGGTGGTGGGACACGCCGAGAGCCCGGGGATGGGTGCGAAGGCAGGAGGGGATGAAGGCACCCTCCCTCCTGGGCACGTGCGTGGCCTTGAGAAGGGCCAGGAGCGGCTTCTGTCCTGGCTTTAGAGATGTCCCCAATCTCCACCAAGGGACAGACAGTCTCCCGCAGGCGGTGGCAGGTTGGTAAGAGTGACCCTTGGTTTTAGAAACACGGATCTGATTTCTCGCTTGCGAGTTTTTGCTCCCAATTCCTCCTGTTCTGCCGCTGCTGATGGAGCCGGGTGCTTCCAGAGGGCCTCCCCCAGCGGGGCCAGGGCTGCCATGATCAAGGCGGCTCTGCATTAAATGAAACCGCTTGAACACCTCTGACCCCTTGCTGCCAGCCAGCGCTTTCTGCAATAACCCACAGCTCTTTGACGAGATCCTTCCAGCGCATCCCAAATTTGCTGGACGCACGTGATCCCGTGAATGCTGCCTGCGGTGGCAGTAACGCCCGCCGCCAGTCCCTGCCTGTCCATTGCCTTCCCCTTGCCCCTGCCTGGGCACACAGCAGGCTCCTTTTCCCCCAGCTCCTTTTCCCCATCCTGCTGTCTGGTTCCAGTGCCCTCTTCCCACAGACCTGCCCCGTGCAGCACCTGGACACATCCGCGGATGGACTCTTTAATGAGAACAGCGCTACCGATGTGATCAAGGGACATTCCCAGCACTTGCAACAGCAGCTTTGCTAAGCAGGGATCTGCTCTGCATCTTATTTTGCTCTAGTTTTGTCTTGTTTGGAGAAATCCATTGCCTTCTCTGAGCGTGGGAGGTGCTGTAGGTCCTTCTCTCCAGGGTTTTCCTCCCTTTCTCCAAGATCTCCTCGTTCCTGGCCGAAGCCTTTGCTCTGCTTGGTCTTGGATGGCCCAGGGAGCTTAGGGGAGACTCGGGGCTCCCCACTGTCAAGTTGTGTGAGCTTAGGCTGGGAAGGAGAAGGCTTTGGGGAGCAGCTGGTGTGGATATGAGGCTGCTGGCTCTGGCTCAAGGAGCGCTCAGCCTGTGGACACAGAAGGGCTGCAGAGCCCTGGGGAGGCAACTGTCTCTTCTCACAGGGCCCGGCAAGAAACCTCCAACCTGGGACATCCCCAAACACCTTTGACAGGCACCGCGGGGCGTGGGTGTGGGGGCACAGAGCAAGGCAGCAGTGTCCTCATCCCACACACCCCTCCTGCCCAGCCTCCTGCCAGGGCGGACACGGCTCTTCCTTCACCGAGGTGCTTCGGGATGTCACGGGGCACCCTTGCACCTTCCCAGCCCTGGGAACAGGGCACGTCTTGGTGAGAAGAGCCACCAGCTCAGTGCCAGAGGAGGTGGCGTCACCGGCTCCCCACAGCCCTTGGGACAGGGGGGTGCTGGCATCGGGGCACCTCTGGGAGCCCCATCCCTGGCCCCTGGGGTCTGCAGCAGCGAGGGGCTGTGTGGACGCACGGGCGGGCTCTGCAGCAGGGGTCTGGCATATGCCTTTCTGTCGCCTGTTTAGGTCTGCGCAGGGGAGCCAAGAAATCTCTCGGCTAAATAAACAGCTCTCTCCTCCCAGATGGCATCTGTTTATACGCCAGGTACAAACAGTCCCCACGGCTGCCCCGCTCGCAGCCAGGCCAGTTCTTTCCACAAAAAAACAGTCCCCGAGGGCCAGCAGTGCCGCACGCTGGGAAGGCAGAGCCGCGCTCTGCCCCGGCACGGCACCACAGGGCCCTGGGCTACAGAAGGCACCGTGGCCGGGGCATCGTCTAGAGGAGGAGACCCTGACTGCAGACCAGGGTGTCTGGACTCTGGTTTGGGGGTTCAAGGCACTGGGTGAAGCTCAATCCTAGCTCCTAGCCCTGAGAGGGTCCAAGGAGCTCGTAGGGGTATCACAGCTGCATCTCCCAGAGCCATCTTTCTTCCTGCTTTCCCTGAAGTCCTAAAGTCTCCCCAGCAAAGATGGCATTTGCTCTGGCACCCCACCCCTTGGTGCTTCCTTCTCCCGCAGTCAGCATCGCTCTCAGGTCACCAGCATCGCTGGGGTCAAGCTGAGGACAGCCAGATTCATCCCGCAGCGGTAGATCTGAGCCTGACCGAAGCGTGGCTCTGCAGCCGGGCTCCCAGCTAGCAGTGTCTCAGCATGTCACCCTCTGCTCATCTCTGGAGAGAAGCCTCACGGCACCAGCTGGCACGCAGAGCCAAGCCGTGCTGCCAAAGCCAGGCACCCAGGAAGAGCCAGGCCAGCCGTGAGGGGCAGGAGCTCTGTGCTCCCCGGCTGTGGAGCAGGGAGGAGGAGGTTTAAACTGCCAAACCCCGACGCAGACTTTACGGTAGGATCCTTCTCTGTCAGCAAACTTGGTCCCAGTGTCAGGGGTCCGTCTGCCTGCGGTGATCTGTTCGTAGTATCGGCCCCTCTCCATTGGGAGTGGAGGTGTCTCATCTCTGACACTTGGGGAGATGAATCCTGCCCCAGTGCGCTGCAAAGCTCTTGGTCCTTTGCCTGCATCACTCCAGGCACATGAAGAAATGACTACGGTGCCACAAGAAAACCAACAGGTGCCGAGCTGCCGTCAAAAGCTTTGGTTGCAGAGGCAGAACACGTCATAACGGTGCTGGTGGGAGATTCTTCCCAGCCCCATCAGCCGTGGGTGAAGGCTGCAACGAGGCACTTGTTGTGTCTGGGCTGGTTGTGGTCAGCCACAATGCACAGAGCAGGCTGTGCCAAGGGTGAGGTGCGGCTGCTCAACAAAAGTACCAAAACTTACCTGAAAAGGGGCTTCAACTGACAAGAGGTGGATGATCAAATGGCCCTAAAGCGGGAAGAGGAAAATCCTTTGCTGCCAGAGGTAGTTTGTAAGAAGATAGCCATCAAGCCCTGGGGTTGCGTCCCTCTGCGTGCAGGGAGGATGTAGTCACTGCCTGAAGGTCGGCGTTGGCGAGACAAAAGCCAGGCCAAGCTCCTCCTGCCTAGCAAAGTCCCGCAAACACAACAGTGGCATCGTGATAAGCATGAAAGCAAAGGCAAAAGTTGCTTTCGAAGAATGAGTATGCAAGGAGGCAGACGAAAGGACAGCGCTGGGGCTTGCCAGCCCACTAAGGAATGAGCGGGCATCTTGGCTGGGTTGGAGATAAAAGAAGAAGCTCGGGAGGTCCAGGGCACTGCTGCATGA